CAGACCAATCATGTGTAATAAAATGGAAGTTATAATTGTCGAGAAACGTGGTTCTTGTCATTAAGTTTATACGGTTTTATCAGAAAGACAAGGAAAAAATATGATGAGTCAAGACTTCCAGCTTTAGTTTTACCAGAGGAACGACTTATTGTAGCTTTATTTTGAAACCGCAGCCATAACCTTCAATGGTGAGGAAATGGCAAGGTATTGCGGTTAGGCGAGCCGAGCTTACTGAGTAGATCAGGTTTGTCCAACCCACAGCCTGAGGGCAGCACGTGGCCCAGGACGGCTTTGAATGCGGTCCAAAGTAAACTTTCTTAAAACATTATGAGATATGTTTTGCGATTTTTTTTTAAGCTCATCAGCTATCGTTAGTGTATTTTATGTGTAGCCCAAGACAATTCTTCCAGCGTGGCCCAGGGAAACCAAAAGACTGGACACTCCTGGAGCAGGGTTTTCACAGCACAGAGGAGAGAGGGGCCAACACTGGTCTCTCAGCTGAGCACCGCCTCCCCCCGTCACCTGTGATCTCACCCAGTCACTTCTCCACACACAACAACAGTAAAACAGGAAGAATGCTGACACACTCATCATAGCAAAAATAACACAATCCATGCACTCTTCCTGCGTGCCGAGGCTGACTTCCAGCACAAACATAAAATCACCAGATCAAGCTTTTTCAGCCTCGCATCCATTATGAGCGCATTACAATCTTATAATACTTCCCCGAATAGGCTAAAACCCATGCCCTTCAAAATACATAAACCTTCTTACAAATCCCTAAGACACTTATAAAAGGAGCAAGAAGAAGTGAACTCGTGAACACCTGAAGTCGTAGAAGCTTCGGCGTTGCCCGGCCACGCACTCTTTCTCCTGGGGCGGGGGCCAGTCCGCGGAGCCGTCCATCCCCTCCCTCACCTGCCGCAGCAGGAGATCCAGCTGCTCAAAAGTCACTGAGCAAATGTCCACCACAAAAGGGACACGGAGGCCAATGGACTACTCAGAACACGATGACCAAGCAAAGCTCTAAGAGGAAATGCGACAATCGAAAATGAATCTCCAAATGCAGCTGCTGGTCTGTTCCACAGGAGTCCCCAGCATGTGTGATGGAGCCGCCTTACATTATCACCTATCATCCCTCTCACCGCCCAGTCCAAAGGCATTCATGGGTGTCTAGCTCACACACTGTCAGCTTCCAATTTTCCCGCCCATTTCACTAGTCCCATCTCATTTGGGCATACCTAAAAAAGTAAAAGCAATTTTAACAATCTTTTCACTCTCAAAATGATGAATGCACATTCAGGGATGGCAGTGAGGATCTCCATCCACTTGAAGTGGTACAATAGCAACTCTAACTGGACAATGAATTGTTAGACGCATAGAACACACACACTACCTTTCATAGTGAGAGAACAAGTCATCGGCAAAAATCTAGGAGAACTGTAGAACACCATCAATAAATTGGATCTAATTTATAGAACACTTCATCCAACAACAGCAAAATACATATACATTTTTTTTTTTTTCTTTGAGATGGAGTCTCGCTCTGTTGCCCAGGCTGGAGTACAGTGGCGAGATCTCGACTCACTCCAAGCTCCGCCTCCCGGGTTCACGCCATTCTCCTGCCTCAGCCTCCGGAGTAGCCGGGAATACAGGCGCCCACCACCACGCCTGGCTAATTTTTTTGTATTTTTAGTAGAGACCGGGTTTCACCGTGTTAGCCAGGATGGTCTCGATCTCCTGACCTCGTGATGTGCCTGCCTTGGCCTCCCAAAGTGCTGGAATTACAGGCTTGAGCCACCGCGCCTGAACCATATATATGCTTTTTAAGCACATACAGAATGTTCACTAAGAGAGAACATATCCTGAGACATCAATCTGAACACATTTAAAAGAAATGAAATCATATAGTTGGTTTTCCCTAAGAAATCATTAACAGAACAATCTGCAAACATTTCAAAATTTAAAAACATACTTAATAATCCACGGGTCAGGTTGGGTGCAGTGGCTCACTCACGCCTGTAATCCCAACACTGTGGGAGGCCAAGG